CGGGGCGCATCCCAACCGGCTCTTCACTGCGAGTCGGCGACTTGGGCGGGCGGGGCATCTCGGCGACGTCGACAACGGCAGAAGCGGCGACGATGGCGGCGGCGTCGGCGGCGATGTTGGCGGGGGCGACGTCGCGGTCAGTGACGGCGGCGGTGCTGATCGCGCCGACGACGACGCGCTCGCGTCGGCAATGGAGGTTTTGGAGAGAATTCGACGCGCGCGCGGCCGACGCGCGAGAGCGGCCCGCGCGGCGCGCTTTGACGCGGATCGGGCCACGCCCGCGCGCGCGCAAGGGCGCGCGACAGATTTTGGCATGCGGCGCGAGAGGCCCGTTTGTCAGAATTCAATGAGAAGGTTGAAGAACTGCGGTTTTATGGCGAATTCGCCACATCGCGCACGCGTTCTTGTTTTGAAAATGTCGCGAAGAATTGGGTTCTCATCGCTGTCTGGACTCTCGATATTGACGTCCTTACGACGCCGCAGGTTTTTGTCTGAGCGCGGCGCGCGCGCGCACTTCGTCGCGTTTGTCGCGCGCGATTCTTGCGACGGCACGCGCGCGGGGGCGCCCTTGCGATTTCGACGCGCGCGCGAAGCTTTTGGGAACATATTGTGCACATGTTGAAACACCTTTGGTAATCTAGAGAGTAAGATGGAGCGCGCGCGAGCTCTTTTTGCAAGTCCGCGGCGCAAGATCTCGTCGCGTTCACGCGTTTCTTGGGCGCGCGCCGTTGATATCCGCGCGGAAGGCGGCGCGCGCGCGACGACGCGCGCGCGTGCACTTGGCCCCGTTCGTTGCAAGGGGTTCTTGACTACTGATGCTTGTCGGCGGAATCAACGGGCTCGCGTCGCACGTTTTGCAGAGGATGCCGGGGGGGGGGGGGGGCGATGCCAGTCGGGCCGGGGTGGCGCAGGTTTATATTCAGGGTGGGCGACGGGGCAGAATCGAACGCAAATTGCGAGCTTTAGCAAGTGGCGCAATAATCCCAGGGGGGGGGGGGGGGGGCGCATATGGCCCCCTCTTAAACCATGAAAATGGGCTTGCCCTGCGACGCGCTTGGCTCCTTGAGAACATCCCACCCGTCCACCCGCAACTTGGCCTGCAAACCCCATGCGGCGGCGATTGCGATGAGTGCTCGGCGTTGGCTTGTGCATCTGCGGCTGCCCTAGCCCGCGCGTGCTCGCGCGCGCGGCGGCCGGCTACTTTGGCGCGACCGACGCGGCCGCGGTGGCGCTAACCGCTGCTGGGCGCATCCCAGCGGGCACTTCGCTGCGAGTCGGCGACTTGGGCGGGGGCCGCGCCGCGGCGACGCAGACGGCGGTGGACTTCTTGCGTCGGCGGCTAGGCAGAGGGCGACCGCGCTGGCGATGAAAAGTTTAAGCGGGGACGCCGTTGGAACGAGTTGCGCCGCCACGCAAAGGGGGGGCGGGCGCGGCCGCAGGAAAACAAAGGCGGGGCCGGCGGCCGAGGGGCCAGGGCGCTCCCCGAGCGCGCGGCGCGGCCAGCCCCGCCGCGGGGCGCGCGGCGGCGGCTGCGACGTCGGGCCGGGGGCAGCGGGGCCCGCTGCGGGGGAGACGAGTCCCGGCGAAGGGTGCGCAACGAACAAATCAAAGCCGAGGCTGCCCAACCCCAGAATCAGCGCGTTCGGGGCCGCGGGGCCGCGGCGCCAGCGGCTGGCGGCAAGGCCAAGCCCGCGGCCCGCGCGGGGGCCTGCAGCTGGCGGCCAAAGGCGGCGCCAGGGGAGCCGGCGGCGCCATTGTGCGCCGGGAAAGCAGCGCGCAGCGGGCGACGCGAAGGTCGACGGGTGGACGGACGCCGAACGAGCGCGGGAGAACTGACGGGCGCGCCCCCCGGCGGACGGGGGACGCCCGCAGCGGGAGGGGGAAGCCGCCGACGCGGAATGCGATGGCGCGGCGCCGAACAAGCGCAGCGATGCGAAACGACAAGGGGCAGGGCCCCCGAGGCGGGGCGGGGGCCAGCGCGCAGGGAGAGGCCGCGGAGGGGGGGGCGGCGAGCCCCGACGCAGCGGCGGATCGACAAGCGCAGAGACAGGAGGAGCGAGAGGGGCCGTCAGCGGGCGCTCTTCCTCCAAACGGACAGGGGCCGGCCAGGGGGGCAAGCCGGCCCATCGCAATCCCAGCAACCGCGACAGACGCGCTGAGCCAAAGAGAAAACCTGCGGGCGGGACAAACCAGAGGGGGGGGGCGGGCGAGAGGCGCAGCGATGACTCAGATGAGGGCCATGTGCGGACGCGGGCATGGAGCGGCGCCCCGCGGGCAGGCGGGGCGCGCGAAGGCGGCGCAACCCGGTGTCTTGGGACCTCACAGCGCCTAAAAGATGCAGGCGCAGCGGCGTGGCTCTGGGTTCGGGCAGCCAGGGGAGCGGCGCGGTTGTTGGGTCCGCGCGGGCCCTCGCTATGAGGTGTTTTGCGCGCGCCTGCGAGGCGCGCCCGCGCGGCGAGGGCAAGGCTGGGGGCGGCGAGGGCGGCGGCTTGGGAGGCGTTGCCTGGGCTGCTCGCGTTGGGCAAGGCGAGGTCAGCGCGTCGCTTGCCTTCCCTGTCGGGCCCAGGGCCTTGTCTTTACCCGTGCCTTTGCCGCGATCGAGAGTGGAGATGGTGGCGAAGGTGGCGACGACGACGGCAAGGCCAATGACGGCGCCAATGCGAATCACGCCGGCGACGATGACGGCGTCTTCGCGTCGGCGTGGAAGGAGTTCGGCATGCGCGCGCGAAGACGCGCGCGAGTAGCCGCATCGCGCGGTTTGACGCGGATCGCGCCCCCCAAACTGATTTGGGCATGCGGCGCGAGAAGTCGTTTCGCATAATCCCATGGACATGCGGGAAAAACGCGAACGCAGCTTATGGTGATAACTGATGTTGCGAAACCATATGTTCTCCATGTGCGTTTTGGACATTCGATTTTGAGATCGTTACGGAACCCCTGGATTTGGACTGATTCCGGCATGCGCGCGCGAAGACGCGCGCGCACACTTCGTCTCGTCTTCTGCAAAGAATTCTTGCGACAGCACGCGCGCAAGGGCGTTCGAACGACTTCGACATGCTCGCGCGAAAGCGTTTGGTTGCATGTTATGGATATGTTGAACAACATATGGTTTTCTGATTAATTCGCAAGACCGCGCGTGCAAGAAGCACTTCTCGAAACTCAGTGTTGCGAAACCATGCGTCTGTATATGTGGCGTGGACACTCGGTTTAAAATTCTTGGCGATCTGTGAGGTTGTTGAAGGATTTCGGCATGCGGCCGCGACGACGCGCGCGTGCGCACTTCGTTATCAAGGGGTTCTTGGACACTGACGATTTGTGATCCACGAGTGCGCGCACCAACTATTTGTTGTAGAAGAATGGTGGCGGGGGGGTCGATACGGGCCTCCTTGGGACGGTGCGAATTCATATTTAAGATGAACGATGGACGGAATCATACGCAAACTGAAATGCAAAAAGGTGCGCGGATAATCCCTGGGGGGGAAGACACTTTTTTCTAAGAAAAGAGAATCTATGGTGTACAAGATTGGGCGGCGACATGGCGGCGACGGCGCCATGAGTGCCGCCAGACAAACAGACAGGCCCAGTCGATGGGCGGCGACGGGGCGGCGCCGGGGCGGCGATGGCGCTATAACATAGCCGCAAGACCGACAGACGGGCCCAAACGACGGGCAGCGACGGAGCGGCGACGACGACATGGTAGCGGCCAGAATGACAGACAGGCCCAGCTCCTTAGAACAAGCCCTAGGTGCGAATATTGATGTATATGTGCTTATGTACGTATGTATATATGTTTATCTGTATAATTGTACTCATATAACCGCATGCCGATGATAATACAGGGACCCCCCCCCTTCAGTGTTTAGAGTTGATTATCGTCGCCCTATACAAAATTCAAATTGGGCGGCGAGCGCTGAGGCCGAACTTCATTATCACCTCGAAACGCTATGTTGAGATAGCAACATCAAGCGATGATGATATAGCAACATCAAGCGAAGCGATCACACTTTTTCAGGATGTGTCAAGCGAAACCAATAATTTTGGGAGGCAGACTCAAACGAAACGAGCAATGTTCTTATTATTATTATACTTTCCTCTTCTTCTTTTATATTTCTATCTGTCCTCACGCTCGCCTGAACTTTTTTATCCCTGGGGTTGATTATCCATGGAGAATGAAGCACATGAGCTACCCTACACGAGCACTTAAACAATCAATTTTCATAAAGCGCTTGTAAATTAAAATTGGCAGATTTGGAAGTTTGGATTTTTCCTTTCTTCGTCCTCTTCTTATTATCCTCTTCTTCTTATTTCTTACTATTCTTCTACTGTATTCTTCTTCTTTTATTTTTCTCTCTGTCCCCACGCTCGCCTGAACTGTTTTATCTCTGGGGTTGATTATCCATGGAAATTGAGGCACATGAGCTACCCTACACGAGCACTTACAAAAAAACAATTTTCATGAGAGATAAGCAATTGTTGAGGATATTTTTATGAAAACTAAACGCCAAGGATGTCTCAAAACGTGCTCGGCTTGGTCTCCTCTGGATCATCCTTCGAGATTATGCTGAGGTCTGCTGGGCTACTTTTATTATCTCTCCCTGAACCCCGAACTTTATTATCTCCTAGTGTTTGTTTTCACGGGCATGAGGTTAACCAAGTATGTATGTATGTATGTATGTATGTATGTATGTCTGTGTGTATGTATGTTGGTATGAGTGTATGTATGTATGTATGTATGTATGTGTGTGTATGTATGTATGTATGTATGTATGTATGTATGTATGTATGTATGTATACTCACCACACTTTCAATCAACAACCGAGCTCGAGAAACAAACTCATCCCAAAACTGCAGAAGTACTGCGCTGGAAACCCCTCCCCAGAGAGCGCCACTCGACGCCAGAGGCGCCGACAAAAGGGTCCAAACTGACCCAAGAGATCCGAGCGGACCTCCAAACGCTTATGGTTATGCACTTTGCTATCATTTGACCCCCCTTCCCCGCCGTCCTGACGCCTCCGGAGCAGCAGCCAGCCTCTCGAGCCTGCCCTGCAGCAGTGCCACGCAGACCGCGGCCGTGCTGTCGTCCGCGGCGAGATCCTCGGGAGGGGCGGCAGGCAGCACCGCCAGAGCAGGGGAGGCGAGACGAGACGCCGCGAGTGGCCGGAGCCGAGCACTCGCCGATGGAACGAGCCGCCGGAAGCAGAGGCGGAAGGGGGTGCCCATGGGCGCAGACCCTGGAGTGCGGGGGCAGCGGGGCCTGCCGCCGGCGGGGGTGGGCCGGCCGCCCGCAGACGTCGGAAGGTTGACCCCCAGCTCCACGTTTCTCTCCTACTTCTCGGGGGTTGGCGAATGAGCTCGGGTAGCTGGTTTTTACATCGCCTCCCGTTGCCAGGAGGCGCGCATGTATCGGGGCGAGGCGCCATGCGGCGGGGTCGAAACCAGCCGAATGCTGCGGATTTCGCAGAGCCCCTGTCCCTGTCCCCCCTGCTTCGTCCGACCCGACCCTCCCTTTTTCAATCCTCCCCGTCCTCCCCCAACCCCGTTCTTGGCCTGGTGTCGGGGCAAATGCGCTCGCGCTGCGAATTCGAACCTTTGGAAGCGCATTCATGCCACAAGTGCCTCTACTGCTGGTTCTGGGGAGCTTCTCTGGACCCCATCCCACCTTGAGCACGATCCTGACCGTCTTAGGAACCAGCTGGACATCATCCAATGCCTAAGCAACGCGACTGCTGACGCGGCCGCCTCCCAGGCCGCCGAAAAAAGGACGGGGGATTGCTTCTGGGGGGATTGGCCCTCACGCCGCCGATTTAGTCGATGTTGCAACTTTTCGGTTTCGCTAAAGGATGAGACGAGCCCTCATGGACACGCTAGCGGTGGACTCTTGGAAAGGGGGGGGGCCTTTCGCCTGGCGAGAGAAAGTTGCGCATTTCCATCCGCGCTCTGACCCTCTCGACCTCATCCCATCAATTCCGTGAAGATGGTCTCCGTTGGAAGTGTGTGACGTGTCGCGAGCTGGGAGAGAGCGTGATCCACCGCCGCTCTACTGTGGAAAATTCCCCCCCCCTCCTCTTCCTCTGGAACCCGGGGGTCTCCCCCCCAACCCCCTCCGACCCCCCCCCCCCGCTGGACCCCCCTTCCCCCCGGCGACCCCCCCCTCCCCTAACCCCTCCCCCCCTTCCCCCTCCCTCCAGAAAACCGGAGGGGTCACTACCGGTTCGAACCCCAGTGCACCCCTCGGAAAATCCGGGTGGGTCACTACCGGCTCGAACCCCCCCCCTCCCCCCAGAAAACCAGAGAGGGGTCACTACCGGTTCGAACCGCCCCCCACCCCTCCAGAAAACCTGGGGGGGTCACTACCGGTTCGAAACCCTTCCCCCTCCCCCCCCTCTCGAATAACGGCGGGAATACCGGTTCGACCCCCCCTCCCCCCTCTCGAAAACCTAGGGAGGTCACTACCGGTTCGAACCCCCACCCCCTCCCCCCCCCTCGAAAACGGGGGGGGGTCACTGCCGGTTCGAACCCCTCCCTCCCTCCCTCTCCCCCCACGGTCACCGCCAGCAAACAGCTCTGGGTCCCTACTACCGTCCGCACCACATCCCCCACTGCTGTCCCCAGCAAGCACCACTGTCCTCACCACCGCTGTCCCCACTGTTCCCACCACCGTCACCACTGTCCTCACCAGTGCCCCCACCACGGTCGCACTGTCCCCACTGTCCCCACCACTGTTCCCACGACGGTTCCACTCCCCCCACTTTCTCCACGGCCCACACCACTGTCCCACTGTCACCATTGTCCCACTGCCCCCGCCGCTGTCCCACTGAGCTGTCCCACTGTTCTCACCACTGTCCCCACTGTCCCCACCACTGTCCCTTTTGTACCTCTGTCCCATTATCCCACCGCCGTCCTCGCAACCGCCCTCACCACTGTCGCCACCACCAGTGTACACTCCACTGTCCCACTGTTTCCACCACATTCCCACTGTCCCCACACCACTGTCCCCACCACCGCCGTCCCCACCACTGTCCCACTGTCCCCCACTGTTCCCGCCATTGCCCCCGCTGTCCCCACCAGGGCCCCCACCAGTGTCTCACTGTCCCCACTCTCCCCACCATTGTCCCACCACGGTCCCACTCTCCCCATATTCCCCACGGTCCCCACCACTGTCCCACTGTCCCCACTGTTCCCACCACTGTCCCAATGTCCCCGCCGCTGTCCCAGTGTGCTGTCCTACCGTCCCCACTGTCCCCACCACTGTCCCACTGTCCCCACCACTTTCCCCACTGTACGACTGTCCCACCACTGTCCTCACCACCGCCTTCACCAGTGTCTCCACCACTGCCGTCTTCACCAGGGTCCCACTTTCCCCAGCATTGTCCCGCTGTCCCCTCACCACTGCCCCCACCACCACCACCACCGTCCCCACCACTGTTCGCACCACTGTCCCACTGTCCCCGCACCACTGTCCCCACCACCACCATTCCCACCACGCTGTCCCAACATCCCCACCATTCTCCAACTGTCCCGAGGAGCGGGCATCGTTTGCCGGCGAGGGGGGCGGGAGGGTGGGGTTGTATAGTGACCCCCCCCCGCCGGTTTTCGAGGGGGGGCGCCCCCCCGCGCGGGGGTGTTCGAACCGGTAGTGGCCCCCCCTCCTTTTCATGATGGACTGGGAGAAGGAGGGGGTTCGAACCGGTAGTGACCCCCCGCCGGTTTTCGAGGTGGGGGGGGGTTCGAACCGGTAGTGACCCCCCCCAGGTTTTCTGGAGGGGGGGGGCGGTTCTAACCGGCAGTGACCCCTCTCTCGTTTTCTGGGGGGAGGGGGGGGGGGAAGGGTTCGAGCCGGTAGTGACCCACCCGGATTTTCCGAGGGGGGGGGGTTAGAACCGGTAGTGACCCCTCTCTGGTTTTCCGAATGGAAGGGGGGGCGAGGGTTAGGGGAGGGGGGGGGGGTAGGGGAGGGGGGGGTGTTGCCGGGGGGAAAGGGGGGGGGGGGGTCCAGCGGGGGGGGGATTTTCGGAGGGGGTGGGGGGGAGACCCCTGGGTTCCAGAGGAAGAGGAGGGGGGGGGTTCGAACCGGTAGCGACCCCCCGCCGGTTTTCGAGGGGGTGGGTGGGTTCGAAATGGTAGTGCCCCCCCCTCCTTTTCATGATGGACTGGGAGAAGGGGGGGGGGTCGAACCGGCAGTGACTCCCCGCCGGTGGTTTTCGAGGAAGGGGGGGACGGGTTAGGAACCCCCAGTGACCCCCCCCGGTTTTCCGCCAGCAGCGGTAGAACACGCTCTTTCCGAGCTGGTGACGTCTTCGTTCCTCCTGGTTGCTGCTGCTCGTGAGTGTCCTGGGGCCCAGAGATGGCCCATGAGCTTCCAGACGGTGGCTGGGATCTCTGTTCGGTAGCTTTCGGGGGCGGTGTGGTTTGGGTCGGGGCGTGCTCATCCCAGCCATCGTATGTGGGGTTGGGACCTTCATAAGTTAACTTTCATCTCTGTCAAATGAGGATCGACGGCCACCACAAACCCCCTTCATCTCGTCAAGGAATGCCCCCCTCGGCGCAGCCGCAAGGGTCATGAGAACCTCGCTCGGATTGCCAAGGGTGAGCATCCTTGTGATAAGGCGCCCATCGTCTCGAACTCCGCTCGAGGTATCGACTCAGCGGGCCTTGATTTGGCTGGCAGCCAGCCCGGTGTTCAAGGGCACGGTTCGCCTTGGTCACTCCTGGCCACTTCCCCAAACCCGTCCGCACCCTCCCCCAGGCCAGGTGTGACCTGCCTCTCTCTCTCTCTCTCTCTTTCTCGTGCACAACTGTGTCCTAGGGAGCTTGGACCTCTATAGTTTCGTTCGTTCGTTCGTAGTCGTTCGTCCCCTTTCCCTTCCTCCTGCCCCTGGCCTGCCCCACCTCCTCAGGCTGTGGTCTTCTTCCATTGGGGCCAGTGCCACCTGCCCCATGTCCCCAGCACCCTCCCCCTGGCCTGGGCCATCCCCACGGACTTCCGACCCTTTATGTTCGTTTGTTCGTGGTCGTTTGTCGCCCCCGCATCCCTGCCCATGGCCTGCCTACCTCGGGTCGTGCCTCCCCCCGGTCCAGGGCCACACTCCCATGCCCCCCGTCTCATTGTGCTGGTTCGTTCGTGGTTGCCTGTGCTACCTGCCACAATTGCCTTTGACCATTTTTTGCAGAGACGCCTTGTGGGAAAGCGGGCCGAGTGATAACTAGGAGGAAACAGAAGACGAAGAAGAGGACTGTGTCCGCGAACCACACAGCAGGAGCTCTGAACCATCCCGCAGCTTCATCGGGGCTGAAAATTCTCCACCGAGACTCATCTCGCGGCCAATGGAAGCAAGGGCTATGTACGGGCCTGCGTTCGACGGCCCGAGGCAGCATCGACGGAGCTTGCAGCACAGTCCTGGCATGAGGACCAACAGCAGCAGCGTAAGCCAGAACATCCAATTCTCTGTCAACAAAATCCTTGCCAACGAGGTCGGTTCACTCACGGCTTTCAAATTCGAGACCTGGTCGAAATGGCATGACTCTGGAACGGCCAACAATGAAGGGAAATCAAAACGAGTGCCCATAGCGGGCATCAAATCCTGCAACTTCCAAGCAACAACTGTTTTGTAGTCTGGAATCGTGTAGTCAAACAAACCATAAATCTCGGGCCGGCCATCCGGAAATGTTTTGCTTATGCCGGAAGGAACTGCCGTAGCATCCAATGACCAGTAAAACCAGCTTGTGTCTTCTTCCCGATACAAGCGAATGATATCAGACAGCCCCAAGCACAATACATCCACCGACCTTGTCGGCGTATGGAAGACGCCCTTAGTCCGTCCCCCGTCTCCTTCATCCGGGCTCTCCCCCTCAAGCTCGCCACCCAAAAGCGAAAGCAAAGCGAAATTGAGCAACGTCGTAGCTGACTCGACGGCAAAGCGAAATTGAGCAACGTCGTAGCTGAGTCGAAAGGAATCCCCTTCCCTTTAATCCCTTCCCAGACGAGGGGGGGGGGCCCGGGGGGACGGTCGCCACCCAGCTACGCATCCCCCCCGGCGGCCCCGGGGCTCAGAAAAGCGCCAAGACGCGGCCAGGCTGTCCTATGAGCGGCCCGTCCACAATGGCCCCGAATCCGAAAACGATCGGTCCCAAACGCCACAACAACCTCCAGACGGCCCAACAATACATTTCCAAGACGCCCCCAAAAAACTCCAAAAGTACTGCCAAGCGAGCCCCGAGAGGCAATGTTCGTCTCCAGTGACGCCACAAGATAACCCAACAGGCCTTGAACAGCGCCCTAGAGCGACCCCAAACAGCCTCAAGACGGCCCAAAAGGCCTCCAAGACGGCCCCAGCAGCCCCAAAGACGGCTCCAAGAGGGCCAAAAAGACCCAGAAACCAAAATCCGCAAGCCTCCCGCGCGCCGCCAAGGGAGAGGCCCAGACATCCAGGGCGCACAAATCTTCCCGATGCGTGCCCCCCGGGATGTCTCTACCCTGAGCCGATGCTTCGACCCGGATCGTTTTTCAGACGGCCCCAGTTCCCAGACACAGCCTCCAGACACAGCAGATTGCAAACAGAAGCCTCCAAGACGGTCACAGCAGCCCCTCTTCATGCTGCTCCTTCTCCTCCCCCTCCGCCCCCTCCTCCTCATCCCCCTTCTTCGCAACCTCCTCCTCCTCCTCCTTCTCCTCCTCCTCCTCCTCCTCATCCTCATCCTCATCCTCGTCCCGGTCCTCCTCCTCCTCCTCCTCCTCGTCCTCCTCCTCCTCCTCCTCATCCTCGTCCTCATTAACATCCTCGTCCTCGCCCTCGTCCTCGTCCTCGTCCTCGTCCTCGTCCTCGTCATCCTCATCCTCATCCTCATCCTCATCCTCATCCTCATCCTCATCCTCATCCTCATCGTCATCGTCATCATCATCATCATCATCATCATCATCATCATCATCATCAATCATCATCATCATCATCATCATCATCATCATCATCATCATCATCATCATCATCATCATCATCATCATCATCATCATCATCATCATCATCATCATCATCATCATCATCATCATCATCATCATCATCATCATCATCATCATCATCATCATCATCATCATCATCATCATCATCATCATCATCATCATCATCATCATCATCATCATCATCATCATCATCATCATCATCATCATCATCATCATCTCATCATCATCTCATCCTCATCATCATCATCATCATCATCATCATCATCAGCATCATCATCATCATCATCATCATCATCATCATCAGCATCAGCATCAGCATCAGCATCAGCATCATCAGCATCAGCATCATCAGGGGCATCATCATCATCAGCAACATCATCAACATCCTCTTCGTCCTCCTCTTCATGACCATCCTTCTCCTCCCCGTGCACTTCCTCCTCGCCCTCCTCCTCCTCCTTCTCCTCTCTCTCCTCGCCGTCCTCTTCCTTGTCATGCTCCTCCATTTCCCATCCCATTCGTCCTCCTTACGGCTCATTATTCTGATTCGCCTCCTCGTCTTCCTCCGCGTGCTCCTACCAGCTCCTTCGACACCACCTTCTCCTCCGCCTCCGCATCCTGCTTCCCGAACCCCTGTTCCTGCTCTTCATCCTGCTCCACCTTCCCCTCCCCAGCCGGCTCCTCCTCCTCCTCCTCCTCCTCCTCCTTCCCCTCCTCGTCTTCCTCCTCCTGCTCAGTTACCCGCTCCTACCGCATCCCGCTGCCCCCCCCCTCCCCCTCCTACTCCTTGTCCTCGTCGTCATCGTCGTCGTCAGGGTCGGCGGCACCGGCTGTAAGGCCTCCTCAATGTCAGCCTTCGGGGATCCTCACGAAATTCTTGCATCGGCGCCGAAGCCCGCTCAGGGCGGGCCCCGCCCTGAGCGCCATGGGGGCAACGCGAGAGCCGCCGCCAGGGCTGTGGAAAGGGCGTCCAGCGCCGACCTAAGAACTCCACGCGGACCTCCGAGGCCCGAGCATGTGCTGTGCTTTGTTGGGTGTCTGTATGTTGGGCCAGTAGGTATCGTTCCTGTACTTGATCCCGAACTCGCCCGACAGGACGGGGGCGCGGTCCTGGGTGTGCAGGAAGAGGAAGGAGGGTCCGCAACCGCACTTAGCGGAGGGTGCTGCACGCTACTAGGGGTGCAGAGCTCCTCGCGGGGAGACCTGCTCTTTGCCCCGACTTGCCGGGAGCATCTTGTGCAGAGGGCACCTGCACAGCACCACCGTGCCTGGCCATCCTGGGCCCTGGCTGGCACGGTGTATGCGCCCCCCCCTGGCCGACGCCAGGACTCTCTGAACGCCATCCTGGAACCCAGGATGACCCTGGCAAAGCACGGATGTGGTGCACGGATGCCTTCTGCGGACATCGGATGGGACGCACATGGACATACTAATACTATATGTCCTCCTTGGAGGCGCGCGTCCGACCCGAACATATAGTATACCAATCTTGTAGTATATCGTTTCCCGAGCGGTGTGGCCAGAAAGCGCCCGCCACGACGCATATACTATAAGATTTCTCGGTGCGCGCGCCGCCCCTGGGGGGGCGACGCACAGATAGTATAAGTATGTTGGGGTGTTGCCGAGCGCATACCGACACCAGGGCTCCCCTGGCCCCATCCCTCGCCTTCGCTCCTCTGGGACTCCCCCGAGGGGGGCGGCGCTCGGCGGCTCGCCCCGCGGAGCCCTGGCCAGAGCGCCTCCCGGGAGAGGTCCAGGGAGCAGAGCAGCAACATCGGTATACACCCTGCGAAATGCTCAAGAAATCATGGGTTAAGAAATTCATGATCTCAGAACTTGAATAAAAACCCAACATGTCTATTAAAATCTCAGGATTTACATTGAAACATCAAGAATAATCGAGACTCTGGTCGAAAAAGTAAGTTTTCTGAAGCATCGCCTAAGGTGTAGCTCTGTGTCCCGTGGGGGGGGGCTGCTGAAGCGCCACGGCAGGGGCAATGGCATCTTCTCCGCTTCCTCCCCGATAGATCGACGACTACGCAGTGTGTCGCGCCCGGGACCAAAAGTCGGGTCGACGTAGAGATGTAGGCTGTAGGAAGCTCACTTGCTGTGGGACATTCAAGAATCCAGCTGACTTTTCCCGAACCCCACCTCGGAATAACCCCCTCTGCGAAGCCTTCTAATGCTTGGGTGCTCAGTGGCGGGCAAGCGCGGCAGCGCGGTTGGAAATTCGAACTTCTTTAAACCTAGAAAATTCCTCGGTCGACGGCGATGCACTTCCTGTCCTCGCAAGTGAGGCCGCGCTGTTCCAGAACGCAAGCCATGGGTTATCGTACCAACCCCACGAACTGAAATCGAAGTACCAGTAGTCGTGATTCTGGTACACCACGCGCGAGAAGAGACAGCTCTGTGCGAGTTTCATCGGACGGGACATCACACTCTCCAGCCGCATGGCAAACCAGACCCCTTCGACAATTACCAATGCATCTTGGTTGCCTGTCCAAGTGGCAACCGCGCCCTTTCCTGCACCAACCCGCCAATCTTCAAATGCAACAAGTGGGGATAGTACACTCGCCGCAGGCGCCCATACTCCCCAAACTGCTACTCTTCGGTGGATGACGTCAATCCTCGGCTCATTGCGAATATCAAATCCGATCACCCGAGGGTTGTGTCGGTATCTTGCTGCCAGGAAGCGTAACGACTCAAGCCAAGACTCTTCAGAGTAGACGTCGTTAAACCACAAAGCATTGTTGTCATCGACGGAGCAACACCAGCGCGCATCAGACATATGCACGTTTACCACCACGAGAAGATTGGCATCTGTGAGATCCTGAACGCAGGAATCGAAGACTTCCAGCGCGTTCAAGTTGGCAAGGCTAGGATCGCCTGCCACCAACTTCGGATCTGGCACTGGTGGGAACACACCGTTGGAATCCAGCTAGCCCTTTGGGGCATGAATGGTTTACAGCGCGTCCTCTTCCAATCCCAGGTTTCTCTTTCGGGGAAGGGTTCACTCCTTCCCCTACACCATTTCCTGGGTCTGCACGGGGGAAGGGTCACCACGATTAGACCACCCCACATAACTCAAGATGGTCCAAAGAGGGCCTCAGAAAACCAAATATGACATCAACGATTGCTCAAGATACCTCGAGATGGTGAGAGATGGCATCCGAAATGCTTCCAAGAGGTACCCCGAGAGCCCATCACCAGTCCAACACCTGTGGGATCACTGTTTTTTGAGGATCGTCGCATTGCCGCCGCTGTGTGATCCCAAAGACGGCCCCACGAGGGCCCACAAGAGCGCCTAGAGAGATCCAAAATGGTCCCAAGATCGCCCTCATTAGAGAGTCCCAACAACGCCCCAAAAGGTTACCGTTTGGGCCCCATATTGGCAGAACGAAGTCAGACCCCTCCTTCGCCCAACGCCACGTTCATGGAATATCCCATGGGTGCTCAAAATGTTGGGCGCATCGGGGGCATAATTAAACGGGGTCAAACTGGTTCCAAATTGGCTTCAAAAAGCCCGAGACGGCCTCCACACTTACTCGGGATATCCTACTATGGCTCATTTTGGCCATAGCACCGCTCCAATGTGGCAGCGGAATTCCTCAAGAATGCTCCTACGAGGCCGATATCCGTCCAAACTTAAGGGGGAGACATGACGTGTGTGTGTGTGTGTGTGTGTGTGTGTGTGTGTGTGTGTGTGTGTGTGTGTGTGTGTTTTCGTTGTTTCGCCTCCGACCAAAACCTCAAGATTGCTCCAACATGGCCCAGCGGACTCCGAACCAAGCCTTGGGTGGCGACGAGGCCACCCCACAAAGGCGGCCCGAAGAGACCCCCCCCCCTTTGATCGAGATGTTCCAAGATGGTCCCGAAAGGCCCCCTGGAGCCTCCAAGACGCTCCCGGGACGCCCCCAAAAGGGTTCCAGACATCTCCACAGAGGGACCTCAAAAGGGCCCCAAGATGGTTCCAAAAGACATACAAGAGGCTCCCAAGGCAAAGGTACGCATGTATGTTTTAATCGTCTCTGCTGCCATCATCACCGCAGTAATACATTATTTATGTTTCCTCCTCCTCTTCCTCCTCGCCCCCCTTCCTTCTGGCTCATCCCCCTGCTAATTTAACGCAACAGTGTTCAAGAGGATTGAGTTGGCTTGCGCAATAAACTGCCAATGCTGAATGACTTGAAAACGGTGTGTCACAAAGGCGGACGGCGAGTACGATTACTCGACCAAGCGCCGGCAATTGTACAATAACCTGGGGCCCTATACCGACCCCCCCCCCGCTCGACCTGATGGTCCAGGCCTGGTTGGTCACGCGCAACATCATACAAATTTGCGAAACACAAGAAACGCGCAAGCTGGAATTACTTGAACGCACAACGACGGTGACGTCCTGACTGCGCTGGCGAACGAACGACTTTAAACTCAGATTCGCACGCAGCAAAAATGAATATGCACGCGTGGTGAACGCGACTCGGGGGCGCAAAATGCGACGCGCATTGTAGCGGGATCTCCGCTGTTTCCTGAAATCCTGCAACCGCCTGAACGCCGGCATGCGCTTGGACCCCTTGGGACTGTCCGCGCGACAGACCTTTGAGCAAGAAGAAGTAGAAACGAAATCGCATGACTACCCAATGCCACTCGCGTGCGTCCGGGGCGCGTTGAGCTCGACCTCGGGCGCTTGCCCACGCCGCTGCCATGAACCAAGCGGTCATCTTCATCCTCCCGATCACGCTTCGCCCAGACTGCGCAAACGGTCGGTCTCGACAGCGAAGCGGCCGCCATCCCGAAAGCCCTCCTCCTTGTCGCTGTCAGCCAAGGCCCGCAAGAACTCCTCGAGGTTACGCTTGGGAATCTTTCCCGCCAGCTGGTCACGAATGCCGTGGGAACGCCCTAAGGCCTGCCAGGAGGTGTAGCTGGGAGCCTGACGCTAGGCGACGCCAACTGAAGGTTACGCTGGTCGGGCCGACTTTGGCCTTCCACTCCTGAAGATGGGTTGGCCGCCGTGGTCTGGGCGATTCCCCACATGTGGTGATATCCTGAGGGGGCCCGCGCTTGCTGCAGAATCTTCTCCTCCTCCATCCGGCTGCCCCGGCGACGAGGGAACGGGCGCATCCGGGCGCCGCCAGGTCGGTTGCGCGCCGGCCGGAGCATCTCGCGGTCACGCATCTGCAACGACTGCGCTGCGCGATGCTACGTTAGGGCCCGTGCGCCCACTCGTTCGTTGACGCGCCGCTAAGCTTCCTGACGGCGGCTTCAAAGTCGTTGCAACGCACGCCCGCGCCGTCGCCATCCGCCGCGAACTCCCGCGCCAATTCCTTGATTGAAAACCTCGCAGCGATGGCGCCCGTCACGATGTCCCCGCGATCACCCCGAATGGGCATGTCGACGCAGGGGCCCTCGCGGCCGGGATCATGGGGTTACCCAGGGAGTGGCCAAAACAAGCGGCACGTGGGTTGAAGCATTGCTGCTCCTGGAGATCTGGTGCGTCACTGATATCCACTTGCACTGCGGCATCCATGTCCCAATCCTACACCGGCCTAAGTCCGTCTGGTTGCGTTTGACCCCTGGGGCACCCCGAAGCATCATTGGGTGCATTGGCAACTGATGGCGGTGGACAATTCCACCCGCGCGTCGCGCCACCGCAGTTGATGCTCGATAAGGGCTCTGCGTGAATCAGGGGCAGCTCGCGGTGAGCGCTGCCGTGCAGCTCATGGAAAATATTACTAGTTTCTGCAAGCTCCCTGGTTATGTAGCTGCCCCCTGGGCCCACCAAGTCGCGCGTCTCGCGGTTCAGATGGCCCCGCAACCGATCGCCTCACTATCCCATCATCAGCCAGTCGAACCACCCTTTTGAAGTTTGGATCATGGCGAGGGCGACCCAGGGATAACATCCAGTCGTTGCGCGAGTCAGCGAGGCGCCCGAGTGGCAGCCTGCCGGCATCAGGAGTAGCTATTTGATCAGCACGCAAACGAACAGGTGAAGTTTATGACCTCGGAGGCTTTGGCGGGGTGGAATGTTTCCACGGGGGCCTGCTTCGGTGGTGGCGGACGCTCTGGACGAGCCTCAGATTCCCCTGCCCCCTTGCAATCCCGACCACTGCCTTTGCCGATGGTGACTTCGTCATGTGGTCCTGGTGCCTGGCCAGGCTCCATCTCCGGTGAGCTTGCCTCCTCGCCCCCCCATCCTCCTTCTCCTCGACGGCTTCGTCATTGGTGATATTGTCGGAGTCGCTGTTTACGCGGCATGGTTAAGGCCGGGGTCGGGCTGGGATGAGCCGCCCGAGCCCGGCGCGATCGATGGCCGTGGCGGGCTAGGACGAGCCGCCGCATAGCGTGAGAACTCGGCGCCCTTGGCTTTGGTCCGTGCACCCGGCATGCCCTTAACAGATGCCACAGCTGCCCCCGTGGCCCTTGGCGCCTTGCTGGCCGCGCTGGGACGCTGAATGGCCCTCCTCGCGCGCCCGGCTAACTTGCGCGACTGGTCCTTGCTGCCTCAACAAAAGGCTCGCCTCGCTGTGCTCCGCAATATCCTGCCCGCCGCTGGGTAAGATATCCCGCTCCTTTGCCGCGCGCTCGGCATCTCTGGTGGCCTCTCCTTCCAAATCGATCACCCTATTGTGTCTGCGTCTCGCCAATGATCTCCGCGAGCTTCCTGCTGCCCTCGAGTAGCGCCGCGCTGCGCTGCATTTGCCCGTTGGCGCCTCCTCCAGGATGACGAAGTTGTTCGCGTCGCCGTTCGTCGCCTGGCCCGGAACGTCCGCGGAGTAGCGTGGCAGCCCTGTCGCGCGCCGCCCCCCCGTGGCTCTGGCCCCCCCGAAACGGTTGCTCTGCCAGGTGGCGTTGCGAACCCGATTCTCGAGATGCACGATGCATTTCATCTTGTCTTCGACGCCGTCCATGCTTGTCTTGCAAAAAAGCTCATCCACGGTTGAGCTCTCTATCCTAGTACCATCGGCCAATAGCCAATAGCCATGGAGGAGTCGGCTTGCGGGGGGGGTCGGGCGCGCGGGAGGCGGGCGGAGGCGTCGCCGGCGCCCCGCGCCCCCGGGGGGGTCCATGTTGGATTTCCCAGGCTGCGCCAAGCGCGCGCGCGTTACTTGCCCGCGCGCTCACATTCGCGCAAGCGCATCCTAAGAAACTATGATTTGGATCGGAACCGGGCGACAACGGGCATGGGGCGCCTGTCAAGGCTGCTTCTGGGAGCGATTGCTGCTGGCTCGACACGCGCGATATGCATGTGACGACTTTTGGAGGGCGGGTGCTGCGCCGTCCAATCCAACGCGGTAATGGCGCGGTCCGGGGCGCGCGGCCGTCGCGGCGCACGGCGGTCGGCGTGACCGCATGGGGCGCGCGATCGGCCGCGCGGTATTTGCGGGCCATTCGGCCGACGCTGCCGGGTCGCCCTCAAACAGCCCGCCAGGAATACGCGAATGCGCAATGCGCCAGCGCGCCGCAAGGATATCGCCCTGAAAACAACCTGCTCACTCTGAGCGCCGACTGCGCGCCTCGCTGAACCCGCGAAGTCGCGCGGCGCGCCCGCGCCGCGGACCCGCCGCAATGAACTCGGGGAAAAAAGACCTCTCTCCATGGGTTCTGGCACCGATTCTGGCCTACTTCCCCGTTCTGGCCGATTCTGGTTCCATCGCCGATTCCTCCTTTGATTCCGTATTGATTCCGTACTGATTCTTTTGATTCCGCTAGAATCAGGGGTCGCAGTTGTGCCGATTCTGTATTGATTCTGTACTGATTCGTACTGATTCCTTTGATTCCCCTGCGCCCCGGGGACCATCGGGCTGCGGCCCGAGCCCCCGCCTCGGCGGCGCGGTTTTTCCAGGGGCGCGGAAGAGTTTTGAAGGGGGGGGGCGGGGGGGGAGGCGGAGCGATTTGCGGGGCGCATCGGGCGGTCGAGCCACAGATTTCCGGGCCCAGGGCGCACGCCCAACATGGCAGGCGCAGGCGCGCGCGAGTTCTCGACCGTCGGCGCATCTGTAAGTTCATGCCCCGCCCCGCGCGCGGGGAGGGAAACTTGCGTTGCGGTTTCCAATTGAACGCGCGGCCGTCGCAACTGCGTCGCATTGCTCAGCGCGCAAAGCGCGCGAGCAGCATGGGGGGCTTTGCGTTCTCGCATGAGAAGCGCGCGGAACCGAACCGAACGGTCGGCGGCGCCCGCTCCTGCGCCGCGCGCGAGGCCATCGCGTCAGCGCGGGGGGCTATCAGGGCCTGGGCCGTCGCCCTGGGGCGCGGGCACAGCGCGAGGCCCGCGCGGGTCTCTCGCGCCAAACATTCGCAACAAGGTCGGCCTGCCCGCCGGCTGGCGCTCGCGGGCGACGCGACGCCGGCGCCGACGGCGAGGCCGACTGGGCCTGGAAGATTCCTCAGAGTCCCGGGAAGGGGCAGCGGGCCGCGATGGAATCGGCGCGGTCGTTGGCGCCCCGCCCGCGCCCGCCCCCCCCTGCAAGCCGACTCCTCCTAAATGAAGGAGTGGTCTGTCGCGGTAATTTGCCGCGGAACAGCTGAGCACTCCGCTGGCGGTGCCCAGCCGCGATTCCTGTCCTCAGGGTGCTCCCCCGTTGCTTTCGCCCATGTTGCCCCTGCTCATTTACTTGGTTTGTGCGCCAGCTAAGATACCGCCCGTTCCTGTCCTACAGCACGCGATGCACGAGCTCCTCACTGCGTCATGCAGCGGCAACTGACAAGCTCCAACGCGTCGCACCGTGCCGCACCCACGTCGACTGGCAATGGCGATTGCTACAGCGGCATCACTCTTGAGTTCTACTCGGCACATTACTCCTTCTGAGAAGCGACTGTTCGGAACAAATATTGCCATTGGTCGCTTCGCCCACTTGCTGCGCTAGGTTTTCTCTTTTTCCAGCATGGGCTCAGTCAGCGAGTTGGACCGTCGCGCTGCGCTCGTGGATCGCTGTTATTCCGTCCGACGCTCTGCGCTCCAAATGATTTCGTGGCCCTCCGCGCACATCCCGGTCCAAGGTGGCCAGGGCCCTGGCGTCTACCGCGCTGCGCGCTGGCCCGAACGCTCTCTGGACGCCGGCAACTTGCATTGACATTGCCACCTTGTCACTGTCCCGCGACCACCCGTGGTCGGGAGCTCTCATCGCGGCTCCACTTGCGCGGCTCCGCAGCGACGGCCGCAATGCTGCTCTCGCCCGTTCGTTGGAAATGGGCGCGCCGAATATCGACGGCCCAACTGCGGTATAAGCCCCAGGCCCTCCACGTTGGATTCCGGACTCCGTGGAGACGGGGTTCACATCGCCAGTCTCGCGGGTGGTTTATACCAATCAGAGGCCATCAGTGCAATCGCTGTTTCTACGCCCGCTGGCCTCGCAGATGTTGTTCGCATGTCTAGAACCACCTGCGTAATTTACGCGTCAATTTCTTCTTTGCCCTGGCCGGCATTTCCAAGCGCGCGCCAAGTTGGACAGGGACCCCCCGCGCAACGGCGCGACGTCCGGGGCCCATCCCCGGCTGAGGCTATCCACGGGCATATGTTACCCGCGCGTTGCTGGCCTGTCCGACTCCGTTGGCCCCCATCGGCGCAGTAGGCTGCGACGCGACCCCTTGGGCTGCGCTCGCGCGGCGTTCGCGCTCGCGCGTGGGGCGCGTGGACATTTCCACTGGGCGCGCCACCCGATTGTCTTGACCCGCTTGCTTGCCGGCCCCCCTGCAGATGCCGCAATTGCCCACCTTTACCGTTGACTCTGCAGCCCCAGGTCACGGGGCCCATTTCGCCGCACTTCTTATAGCGTCGTCACGTTCCTGCGCCTTGCCCATCCCGGCGGCACCCGCGTCTCCTTCGCCCCGGCCTCGGTCGCCAAACCAAGCCAGGGCGGGCCGCCAATTGCCTTCCCCATCATCCGACCGCGGCAACTTCCTTGGCGGCCTCGCCCCCCCCCCCCCCCCCGATGACCACTGCATTGCTGTTCTTCGCGCGGGCGTCCAATCGTTGCTGTTCGAGCCCAACCCTCGAGTCGCAAGCGCAGCTTCTGGCGCGACTCGCCGGTCAGAGAATCGGCGACCTGGAGGCCCCGCCGCCAGCCATCAAACCGCCACCCGGGGCGGGTCGCCATGACTCCAGGGCCGCCATGACGCAGCTCACAGGATCTACCATAGCACGCTCCACTGATCAAGTTGAACCAGTGCGCCACTGATCGCATTAGGCCTGTCTGGGTTCATGGCCGAGAACACCTGCGCCAATAGCGCTTCGCACCTGTCACTGCAGAGTACAACGTGTAGATTGTCAAGTATGCAGTCAATCCTGTGCCACCCTGAAGACCGCACGGCTTGCTCCGCCCCCCAAAACTCTTCGGCTGTTCGGTTGGGATGCGCCATGGGTCCTGGCCTGGCCTGCGAATCCCATCCTCGTCAAGAACGCAGTCGCCCTCGCGTTCGTCTCCTTCCCGCTTCATATCTGGAGATGTTGCGCTGCGCCCCGCTGCGGTTATTCTCGCATTCCACATTCTCATTGCTTCACTTATGTCGCCCTGTTTTGGGGCAGCCCTGCCCAATGTCTCCAATCTTGATTGCAATAATTCGCAGGCCGCGCGGATCCCATGGTTGACGCGCACCGTGACGTTTAACGCGCGGCCGTTCCCATATCAAATTTTCGTTCGGTTCCGTTGAAGTTCTTAAGTGACTGGCATGCCGTCGTCTCGGTCGCGGGCCCTTGCTGGGCCCTGCGTTTGCCCGATCATTTTCCGGCTGCCTGAGCGAGGAGTGCATGCGCATTCGCTCTGTTCCTCGTCTATTGTTCCAACCCGGCGCCTCGCGCTGTCACGCGCGCGGAACCCGCCTCGCGCTCGCTGTCGCGATGGATGGCGATCGGCAACTCTTCGTTCGACTTTCCGAACATCCCCTTTAGTGGCACCGCGCGCTCGTCGGGCAAGTCTTGGCTGCCCGCGCGAGATTAAGGGGAAAACAAACCTACCTCGATTTTGACCACCCTCGCTTCCAAGAGATACCAAACGATGCCAAATTGCAGCCTGTACTGGCCAAGCCGCTTGACGAGGAGGCACATGGTATGCCTTGGTTTTGCCTGGAAGCGAAAGCAGGGTATGTATTTCACGCTCTGAGAGATTGCTCTTCTAGCTAGTTCGCCGTCGGGCCATGGTTGGCCCGTGGGCCAACGCTAATGAAGTCGAAATAATTCGCGTTCGGATTGATCGCGCGCGGCGAAACCATCAGCGCCGAAATCGGCGAAATTGCGTTCGACCCATTATTGCCGCGACGCAGGCACCGTTGCGCCCGCGCTCGCTGCCGCAACCTCCCCCCGCGACCATGCGCATGCAACGGGGCTGCACTAAACATAATTGAGCAATGGCTCGCCATGGCCGGTCCACGGCACTACTCCAGCAAAGCTTCCGCGCAATTGCCGGAGGCCTGATCAAAACCAACGCTGCGCGCGAATGCAGCGCGCGGCGGCGCCTGGCCAGAAACCGAAACAATCCCCGCACCCCCCAAAAAAAAACGAAGAATTGCTGCTCGCGCGCCGGCGGCGCCCACGTCGCCAGGGCCTCTGCAAACCGCGAGGGGCGCGGCGATGCCGGCGACGCCCGCGCGGAGACGGCGGATCGTCCACGGGCCCGACGAAGCGCGCAAGCCGCAAGGGCCACGTGCCCCAGATGGCCCGCGCCGCCAGCGCGGGCCGCCGGGGCCGCAAGGCCCCTTCTGGAAACCACCCCTCGCTGCAACTCGGCCTCGCGTCGTCTGGCCGAGCAGCCCGCGGGGCGCAGAGCCGACCGGGCCGACGAAGAAACCAGCCAACCAACCAAATCCCACCCAACGCGTGTAAACCCCCACGGTTGTTCGAGTTGAACGCATTGGCCCGCGGCGACTGCGCGTTCCCGGGCGGTTCCCAACTGGGGCGCCCAAGCGGAACGCCTGCTGCGCCTCGATGATCCAAAGATTCCACCAGAACAGGGCTCACGGGGGCAAGAACCTGCGATTCCCCTGAGGCGCCCCCGCAATCAAAATGGGGGCCGACAGCTGTGGCGCCCCATGGCGGCCCTCAGTAGCGTGCCCCATTGCTGCGTATTCAATATATGCGAACGTTTGTGGGATGAGCGCGGCCAACCTCAATGCTGGCGGGTTTGATGCGCGCGGGTCTGGGCGCGAGTGAATGCGCGCGCGGTTGTCCGAGCATGGGTGGCAAATCGGGGCGCGCGTGAGCCCGGGCATTCACGGGGCTGAACGAGCGTGGCATGAATGCGGGCAGTGTGACTATGAGCAAGTCTGGACGTGCATGCGCACTGCGCGTGCGTGAACGTTTTGCGCGCATGAGCACGGGCATGCCTGAGCTCAGTCAGCGTCGAGCTGGGCGCGGGCGAGGGGAAGGGGGGGTGGGGCAGGCTGCGTCTGGGCCCGGGCGGGCCAAAAGCCCCCCCCAGGCAATTCGTCGCTGAGGCGCCCGGTTGCAGCGCCGGCGATCACGCGCCCCCCCGCAAGAGGCGGCTCATCCGCAAACGAGCAAACCGCCTAGGCCACCCCCGCGACATTCGCGCGAAGGGGCCAAACCACATGCGCCCATGCGGCTTCCTTGGAGCGATCAGGTGCCGCGAAAGCAATATCGCGGCGAAAAATGTGGCTTTGGGATAAAAATTAAAAACGCCCACGAAGCGCGCAAACTGATCGAATCATCCACCGCGATGCGGGCGCGAACAGGCGCGGCCCCTTGAAGGGGCGGCCAAATGCCGCGCCTGCTGCGTCGCGGCGACACCGCGGCTCTCAAGACAGTGGAGTCTGTCCCGCGCAACGGGCAGACCGCCGCAGTCTGGTCGCGAACGGGCAGGCGCGTTGCTCACTGGCGCCGCCTTCGCGGGGTGCCCAAGTGGCGCCCTTGCTACGCACCGGCGAACGTGCGTCTTTCAACATAAAATTGCATGTTTTGCCAAACGATCAGACAGCCTGGAACGTCCTCACAATGACATCGCGAACGGACGCGCGTCCGACCCACTGACAGCCGTTCCCCGGGGCACCGTAGTGCCGCGCATTCGTGCGCGCGTCAAAATATAAGGGCGCGTTCTACCGAGCGACCGCGGCACCTGTTTGCGGTGCCGCATTGCTGCGCCTGCTGCATCTCGCTGGGCCGAATGCCGCGCGCAAGTCCGTCGAGGGTTCCTCGGTGCGCCGCAGCGCCACGCATTCGCGCGTCTGTCGGCGTACAGGAGCGCGTTCCACCGAGCGACCGCGGCACCTGCTCGGGGCACCGTGCCGCCGCGCCTGCCGCATCTCGTCGGGCCGAATGCCGCGCGTGAGTGCGTCGTGCTACGCTTGGTCAAAAAATGATTGACTGCGGGCGCGAGTGGGCCTGAATGACAATGCGCCTGCGGGTCTACGTCGGGTGCTCGCGGGTCTAAGCGTCGGCGGATTCGCTTGCGGATGGGTCTGGCGGTCAGCGCGCCAGGGTGTCAGCGGACCTGCAACGCGCGCGACGCGCGCGCGAGGGCGTCCAGGGGCGAGGGGGCGGGGGCGCGGATGCGCCCTCGAACAATGAATCACGCCGCGGGCAAAGAGGCGCCCATCCTGCAGCGCTGAAAATAGCCGCGATGAGCGGAGGGCGCGCGATTGCGACGGACGCGGCGGGGCCGATGGAGACGGCGCGGGGAGCAAGCTAGGAGGACGAGCCGAACCCGATCAACCATCAAGCCCGCCACGCAACCAAAAACCCAAACGGCAGAGCCAGCCGAACCGCCAAACATCACGGCGCTGCCGCGCGAAACTTCCTCGCGTCGCGGGCGCCATGGCAGGGGGGGCGGGGCCTGGCGCGCGCTGCGGCAGGGCCGATGAAAGCGCGGGGGGGGCGGGGACAGGAAGAACTAGGACAATGAATAACAGCGGAAATCCCCCCCCGCATGGCAGGGGCGCCAAGGCGCCCCCGCCCCCATCGGCCGCCGGGGCCTGGATTGACGGGGGCGGGGGAAAACCGAGCGCAGTCCAGCGCCCGTCCGCAAACAGAAAATAATGCGGGGATGGGGGGCAGGGCAAATAAAACTGCTCGCCGGAGGAAAGGGGGGGAGAGGGAAGGAACGCGCTGCAACGCACCGCCGCGCGGCTGCATCACAGCGCGGACTGGGGCAACGCCCGATTCACCTGGAGCGCAGCGATGACCAACCCGCCGCGGGCGAGGCCTGGCGGGCGACGCGCTGCTGACTGCAGCGCGCCCTGACTTCCACGGACGACCAGCCACGTCCGCGCGGCAACGAGGGGGCTGATGAACAACAGAGAACGCATTGGAGAAAGGAAGACCCGAGCAACAAACTAGAAAACGCTGAAGCAGAAAAGGAGGAAGAGGAAAGGGGGACCGACTGCGCAAGTCAGATCCCAGCCCGCGTGCAGGCGACGCCCTTGTCGCAAGTGCGCGGGGCACGGTGGCCCCGCGCGTGGACTGTGGCCCGCGCGCGGGGCGCATCTGGGCTGCGCGCGCTGCGTGGGCCGCAAAAGCTGCACGAAATGCATAAACCGCATAATCGACCCGGGCCGCGCGACCCGCGCGGGGCGCGGGGGCGGAGGGCCGCGTCGGACTAGCGAGGGCGCATGGGCCGCGCGAAGAACACCGGCGCACCCTGCAGAAGGCTGGGCGAAAAGCACGGGCAGCACGAAACGCGCGGGCCGCGGGCAATATATGATACGCATGGCCTCTCGTGCTGCCCAGGCCACAGGAAACGCGCGACCCGCGCGACAGTTGATCTTGCGCGCCGCCGGGCAATTCCTGCGCGAACACCGCGGGACTGGCAAAAGACTTGAAGCCCAATGAATACCGCGTCGCGTGCCCACTCGGGAAACCTGACCCCGCCGCCAAGCATTCGGGCGCGAGCCGCGCCGACCAGAGGAGCAGCAAAAATACGCCACACCGCAAAGCAGGGGTGCAGCGTCAGGCCTCCCGCCCCCGTCGGCGCCCCGTCTTTCCCTTCCCCGAGGCGGGGAAGGGAAAGACAGGGCGCCGCCCCGCGCCCGTCCGCCGACAATCGGGGGGGGGCGGGGCAGAAAGGAACGGCGCGAAGAGGAGGAGGGAAGAAACGCGCTGCAGCGCACCACCGCGCGGCTGCAGCGCGGTGCGAACTGCAGCAGCGCCAGATGCGCCAGGGGCGCAGCGCAACCCTACCCGCCGCAATTGTTTTTTCTCATCCCCCCCAGCGCGCACTCCCCCGCGCTCCGCGCTGGCCCAACTCGGCGGACGAAACGCTGCTAACTGCAGGGCGCCCCAAAGCTGAAGTGGCCAGCAACATCCGCGCGGCATACTGGAAGGCGGAGGGCCCAAAAAGAACAAAGAGGGAAATGGTGGACCCAAACAACGAGACGGATAGCACAAGAGAGAGGGGAATAATATACTCAAACGGGCATGGACTGCACAGGCCAAGTGTCCACAGAGGTAGAGCGTCTCAAAAGCGAAATGCTGCACAGGCGACGGCAGGGAAAATGTTTCGACACGGGGGATCCCCATGCATGCATCTGTGAATTGCTTTTCCTCTTCCTTTTCCCCTTCCTCTTTCTTGTCCCCCTCCTCCTCCTCCTCCGGACCCTCCTCATCCACGCTACTTTGCATTGACCAGGTAGCGCGTCAACAAGTGAGCGGGCATGGGAACTGTGTGGGCCGAGACATCCTCGCAACATGAACGCGACAGCGCCCGTAATGCACCCCCTAGAGACCCCCCTGTGGTTCCCCTATGCCACGTTTGCGACATCACGACGACCACGCAACCATGTTAAAGCCAGAGTTCCGCTTGAGGCATCCCCACGAGCTGGGCACCAATGGGTCAGTGTCCCACCCGCCTCTACATCGCAATGGCCACGCGACCGTGTAAAAAAAAGACACGTATACCTCTCAACAACCAGCGTCTCGCGCGAGATATCCCCACACATTGGGCACTGACGCACAAGTATCCTGTCCCCTGGCGGCTAACTGTTGTAGCGCCCGAACCGTATGTTTACTACGTCGTCGCGGCGACTGCGCGGCCCTGGGAAAAAAACGCGTCGACATTCCCAAACCCAGCGTTTCAATTGAGATATCCTTACAATGTGGGCGCGAAGGCACCCGTGATGTAGACCCTGCGCCTCTCCTCTATGGCGTCCAAAGAATGATAACTGCTACACCGCGATTGCCACGGCCTGAACAACACATGCCCCACTTCCCACAGCCACCTGTTCGCAGGGGACGTCCCCACAATCTGCGCCAACGGGCAAGTGTCCGACCCTCTAGCGTCCCCCCCTCCCCCTCTGGGATACCCAAATATACGCTGCGTGGCGGCTTTGAAACAAAAGCACGCCCACCTCAAACAGCCAACATTTCCCGTGAGATATCCCCGAATACTGGGCGTCAGCGGGCAAGCGTCCTACCCCGTGTGGTGCCCAAGAACTACGGTTGCGACATCACGAACACCACGCGGCCCTGAAAAAGACGCGCTTGAGACATCCCAACCATATGGGCACGAACCGGTAAGTGACTTCTCCCCTGGCAGTATCCCCTCGTGTTCCCCAGTTGCTATGCGTGTCACATCGCGATGATTGATCGTGGTGTGGAGAAGGAAGGACGAAGAGGAGGAGGAGGAAGTGAGCATACGAAGGCGCGGCACGGATAACCACTACTCACGACGTAGAACATGAGAATAATCTCCGCAACATCCACCACGAGACGCGCATTTGCCTGCACAAGGATCCGATATGACCGTCGGACCCTTGCTCCGCACGCGTTCGACGGAAACTGGTGGCAATCAAACTGGCCATTTTTTTCAGCACACATGTTGGGAGAAAGGGGACAGCTGAGGGGACGAACCGGACCGCATTCACAATCGCACGCAGAGTCGGACATACTGAACAAACTCAGTGTGTGCGCGCACCCCTGACGGCCTCCAACCGCTCATATAACACACACGCTGAGAGTCAAATGCGTCGCCGAGCGTAGCATTATCAGAAACGCCGATCGCCCTGGACCAGGGTTTGGGGGGGAAAAGAAGACGGGGAAGCAAGAAGAGGAGGAGGAGCCCTGCCGCACACAGCGAAATCGCGCCAGAGGCTAAAACAAGGAACCTTGGAGCATGGAGGCAGCTCGGTCTCCATCCAACACTGACACAAGTGCGGGCACGAGATCCGGCGAAACGGCGAGGAAGGAGCAGGACAGGCGGCGAAGAAGAGCTAGCAAGCGAAGCGCCATAAATCTGACGCACCCCCCAAGCTTCTGAATGCGGCCCTGCCGCAAATCAAGACGGCCATGCTGTCAGCGTAGGCGGCCGACACCACAGGACCATGCGGGCTCGTGGCGACTCCCTTGTCAGGGAGCGACCGACGAAACCGGACAGCCCATCACCAGCCGCCTCTGCGCGCACCGGCGCAAGCGCCAACTAGAGGGGGAGCGAGGAGGAGACCACAAGAGGAGGCGAAGCGCAGGCCGACCCCGAACGGGAACAGCCAGTGCCCCGCCTCCGGGAGGCGGGAGCGGGAGGAAGGAGGAGGGGGGAAGGTAGTTGTGCCGCAACTCGCCCGACCCGCGGCCTCCGCCGTCCTGTCGTATGGGCCGCGGGGCGGAACCCCGAGCTGACGCCGAGATGCGAATTTCAAATGTCACCGAGTCGGTGCGGCGCCGAGGAGGTAGGGCGGCGAGATCTATACATATCCACTGGTCCCTGTGCCAGGCCCAGCCTGAACCCAGCAGCGGTGCATATGCCACGCCCTCCTGGCTTGGCCAGGAGGGCGTATACACAGCTCGTGAGCTCAGGATGGGCCTGGCCGGGGAGCAGTGGATATGTATAGACCTCGCCGCCCGAGGAGGGGGAGGAAGGAAGACGAGGGAGGCGGAGAGAGGAAGGAGGCGAGAGACTGCGTGCTCACCACGGGCACTCTGGCCTAAAGGCGCGTCCAGCCGGCCACGATCCACAGCGCGGCACCGCGCCGTCAGCCAGTGACGAGCCCTGCACGGGCAGTATACAAAATACCTGTGCAACACTCGGGAGCGGCCAAGAGGGGGGTGTCCAAGAGGGGGGGGGTGCAAATCATGACCGGCGGCATGTGCGCGGCCCAGCGGGGGGGGCAGGGACGTAATGAAACAAGAAGAGGCACCATGAAATCTGGGGAAATATCATGGCCCCCGCCATGATATCCACCCCCCCCTAGTCATCACCCCCCTCTTTTCCGCCCCCGAAACACAATAGGGCGGACAATGCCCGGAAACACTCTGACCACTCGTAGCCGCACCAATGTGCATATGCATCAAACAAAACACCGCCGGAGGGCGACCAGCAGAGGTGCGGAGGCCTGGAGGTACACAGTACCTGGTAGAATACACCATGGAATCGTGCGACCCACGTGAGAATGAGTGAGACTAGTGCGGCTGGAACAGCAGACGGCCCCCAAATAATCCAACATCGACGGGCTGGCATCCCCAAAATCAGGCGCCCGAGAAAAGAAGAGAAGAGGCGAAGGAGCGAAGAGGAGGAGACAGGAAGAGAGGAGACAACAACATAACAAAAACGAGAAACCTTTGTACTGCAAGCGCCGCCATGCGGCAGTGCGACCCCTAAACGTGCAACAACAAATCCGAAAATGTCCCAAGCACAAGCCCCGCCGTCAACACAATTGATCACCCAGCCCGCGGCGGCCCTCCCGCACGTACTCCGCGAAGGCCCCCTCGATGTCTTCCACCAGCAGGCCGCCGCAGCGCGGGTGGTTGTGGCGCCGGTACCAGGCGTCAGCTCCGATTGCCAGGTTGCGGATGGTAGACTGCCCCGCCGTGGAGGCGGCACCGTCCCCCAGCAGTAGGAATCGGTCGAGGGCTTGCTCCCTCGGGGCAGGCGCGATCTGCAGGATGCGCTAGAACAAGTGCTGCCGGACAGGGCAATAGGCCCTGTGCTCGATGCTGTCCTGCCCACCTCCACAACCGAGGCGGCAGGCATGGCGATCTCCCCTGAAAGCGCCGACTGGTACACCACCCATTCGGCTGCAATCGTATGCAAGCCGCAAGAGCGTGGGGCTGGCATTGAGCAGCCACTGCCGCCAAGGCCGTCTGAGCCCGTGCCCGACGACGTCCTGGTAGCACCTGCAAAGGCCATCCGTCCAATTTACGGCGCCAGTGCCGCAGTGGCTCCGCCTTGGGCGCCGGCGTGATGAGGAGAGCGGCTTTGCTCTGCCAGCGAGCACGTCCTAGGGCTCCCAACTTCGCGCTTCGCGCTGCGCGAAGCGCGAAGCGCGAATAACTTCGCGCTCTCGCGCCGCCCTCCCAAAGGGAGAATAGGAGGACGAGGAGGAGGAGGAGAAGGAACGAGGACCGCGAAGCGCGAAGCGCGAATAACTTCGCGCCCTCGAGGGAGCCCTTGACGTCCCTCCCACCACTCGGGCCGTGGGCCCGGCGCCCTCCTGGCAGCGCATAGGCGGCTGTCCGCCTCCGCGATTTTTGCAGCAAGAGCGCCTGGTCGCGCCAAGCCAGGCAAACCAAGCCAACCCGGCGAGGGAGGCGGACGCTGGCACGGCGGCGTGCAGGTCACCCAACTCCCGGGGCCGTTCGCGGATGCGGAGCTCGCCTGCGGCCTCCCGCTTGGCCCCTCGGGCCTTGGCCGCCACGACTGTCCGCGCAACGTCCTTCAGGGCGACGGGGAAGCGCAGGGCTGTCAACTCCCTCAGGCAACCTGTGCTCATCCAATAAAGAGGGGCCCGGGAAAAGTGCCGAGCACCCCCGCTGTTCCCAATCTGGCCAGTCTGTCGGCAAGGCCTCGAACTGCCCCACGAAGAGCAGCACCGATGCGGCGTAGACCTTGTATGCCTGGAGCGAAAGCTGCAACCCCACCCGAGTCGGCCCCATAGCTGGGACATCGCTGCGATTTTGACGTTCGTCAAACGTGCGTTTGATTCGCCCATGTCGTCCAGCCCCCCATCTGAACCAAAAACTGGCCACGGCGTGCAAATGACGCTGGCGGTGTGCTGCCCGTGCCGAAGCGAGAACGCCGTTAGGACGGACTTTCGGCCATTGTACGGAAGTTCGGCCAGCATAGTAAAGTGCAAAGCTGTGCCGCACCGCCTGACGGCAATTACCTGTATCTGAGCCGAAAAGCCAACACTTGCACAACAACCTGGGGCCCTATACCGGAACAACCCTTCCTTCCCCTAGTCGTCCTCCTGTTACTCCTTCTCCTCGCAGCCATGGTGAACCACACATTGAGTGAGAACGTGTTCAACCAACACTCATTATGATCGCATTCCTCCTCTTACTGCTCCTCCAACTCTTCCATCACCCCTCTTCCTCCTCTTCCACCTTCCCCCCCCCGCTTCATCATACTTTTCCTCCGCCTTTCCTCGTTCGGCAGGTCCGCAACGGCACATGCTCCCCTTGGCCTGCTCAGGCGACTCACAAACTTCAAGTCGACGGCCTCCACAGATCCACAGCATGCTCACCAATGTCAACGATCAACACAATTCGCCTGAAAATCGTTCCTGGATGGGCTGGTGGGGATACGCGAAACGTAAATGATTGTCTGTCATGTTCAACGCGTAGCCCAGACGGACCGAGTTGAAACCCATACGAAGAATGCGAGCGGCTATCGTCTTGGCAGTGGTCGTGTGCAGCCCGTTGTTGACGAGTTGCTCCATGTGGGCACCGATCCAATTGACGCCAACCAATTTCACAGGCTTCCCAACGGAATCTACGATGTAGCGGCCGCTCGTGCGCAGCGGGAACGAGAGCTGTGTCAGGACATCCACTTGCGGCCTGCTCTCTGGCAGCAGCATCCACGACTGGTTTGCAGGCCCCTCCTGGCTCTGCTCATCGAAATTGTTCTTCCAATCGCAGTCCCTCAACTCCACGGACGGCCGTTCGCCGTCTGCTCGAATAGCCATGAGGCATAAGCCACTGAGTCGAATGCGCATACCGATGACGTCCCATGACCATTGAAGAGACGAAGCCTCCTCGGACTTGCTCAATACAAGGTCGGCTCCAACGCAACCCCCTGTGTCGCCCGACATGCAGAGTGGTCCGACGAGAGGCGCGTGGTGCAGGGATGGCCTCCAATCCCAAGCGACCCACAGGTGACTGTCCGCAGGGTGCCCCAAGCACTCCACAAGCTGCAAGTGGTTGCCAACTGTGGCGCTCAGACATAGATCTATGTCTAAGGCCGTACCAATCTGCGCCCCAGCGTGAACTCGCGATAAAATGTTGCACGCCCACCATCATGCCTTGTGCACGTTTGGGGCGTGTCAGCATATGCTCCTCTGCTGTCTGGTTTGACTCCATCCCCTCGTCGCAGGCGTCGACCGAAAATTCTCCACGTCTGCCCCGAGCAAGCCCCGGGTCGCCCCACGAGGGGCCCAAGATGACCCACGATGGCCCAAGAGGGCTCCAAGAGGACGCCCATGAGGCCCTCGAGAGCACAACACATGGCCCTCATAAAGGCGTCGACAGAGTATTGCATGCTTGCCCTTTCAAGCTTCCGAGTGCCCAAGGCGGCCCAAAAGGTCATCAAGAGGGCTACAAGACAACCCAAATCGGCCCCACGAGGGCCCCAAGGTGGCGCAGGGGGGCTCCATGACGGCCTAAAGAGGCCCTCAATACGGTTCAATGGGACATAAGACGGCCCAAGATACCTCCAAGGTGGCCCAAGCCTCAGGAGAGGCCTAAGAGGGGGAAATCGAGCTGGCATTGACAATACGCTCCTAAAAGAAAACTCTGACAGAACACCAACATCCGCCCAAACTGACCGAAATGATTTTCGAGAGGCCCTTAAGAGGCCCCAGAGAAGTAACTCGACCTCCTTCACGCTGCGCTGCTGCATTGGCGCGGCGGCAGGGTGTGCCGCAGGCAGCTGCATGAAAATGAGGCGGCGAAGGACAGCCGGGGACGCATCGTGCATGTGCTGAGCAAAAAAACCATATGCGCCTGTCTCACAAGTCACAAGTGATAAGACGCCACACTGTGTGGCATCAACCCTTGTGGTGCAAGACGATGTCCGCTCGAACTAAACGGCTACAAGTTTACAATTACTTGTGGTTACGCGTTGCAATTTAGGGATGTGGTGCGTCCATGAAGTCGTCCCCCCCGCTAGGAACTCGGGGTGTGCGCTCATGTCATTCTTGATGCGTGGCATGCGTTCTAAGCTCTGCGCGGGAGGGGGCAGAGTTTTGGGACGAGTCGTAAGCTTTGCCCCGATGGTGCTCAAAATAATGATGGTGATTGACAGGAGGTAGGTGATAATCATGACAGCACTGGTGATGGTAATAGAAACGTCCACGCCTGCCGTGACGGTAGGTTGAATGATGCACTGGCAGACCGGAGCCAGTTCGCAGCGTTCCCGCCCAGCATGGGTCAGTCGCGCTGAAGGGCTGGCCACTCAGGCCGTTTCTTGGCAGTCCACGCGGAGCCTCCACGGGGCTCTCTTGGTCCTGTTTCGGAGTCGGTGGCCAGGAATGGGTACGGGGGACCAGAATGCTCCCAGCGTCAATTCCTCTCTCCGCCAGGGTCCGATGAAGACCGCGAGCCTCCCCAATCAGCGGGTGTCACCATGGCCTTTGGAAGTTGCCAGTCGGCGCGATAACGAGGCTGGTGGCAATGATCCCTGAGGACGCTGCGATCTCTGTTATCTAATCTCTACCCCTTTGATATTACCTAACAGCGAAGACTGATAGGCTTCTAGTGGTCTCAAAAGAGAGCATCATGACTCCCCAAGGGGGTCTGGGCAGATGCTGGACGGAATCCGGGGACTCCTTTTTTAGCGATCAGTAACGCACTTCGTGGTCTTCGAGTTCCCAGAACTCTATTCCTGGGCATGATTTTAAATGCCCGGAGCAAGCTGTAGGCCACTTCGTGGTCTTCGAGTTCCCAGAACTCCATTCCTGGGCATGCTTTTGAATGCCCGGAGCAAACTGTAGGCCACTTCGTGGTCTTCGAGTTCCCAGAACTCCATTCCTGGGCATGCTTTTGAATGCCCGGAGCAAACTGTAGGTCACTTCGTGGTCTTCGAGTTCCCAGAACTCCATTCCTGGGCATGCTTTTGAATGCCTGGAGCCAACTGTAGGCCACTTTCTTCGAGTTCCCAGAACTCCATTCCCGCGCCACATTTTGAATGCTGAGGCAGGCTGATGCTGAGGCTGAGGCAGGCTGAGGCTGATGCAGGCTGAGGCTGAAGGCAGACTGAGGCTGAGGCTGAAGCAGACTGAGGCTGAGGCTGATGAAGGCTGAGGCTGAGGCTGATGCAGGCTGATGCTGAGGCAGGCTGAGGCTGAGGCTGAGGCTGATGCAGGCTGAGGCTGAGGCAGGCTGAGGCTGAGGCCGAGGCTGAAGGCAGACTGAGGCTGAGGCTGAAGCAGGCTGAGGCTGAGGCTGAGGCAGGCTGAGGCTGAGGCTGAGGCAGGCTGAGGCTGAGGCTGAGGCTGAGGCTGAGGCAGGCTGAGGCTGAGGCTGAGACTGAGGCTGAGGCTGAAGGCTGAGGCTGAAGGCAGATGAGGCTGAGGCTGAGCAGGCTGAGGCTGAGGCTGATGAGGCTGAGGCTGAGGCAGGCTGCTGAGGCTGAGGCTGAGGCTGAGGCTGAGGCTGAGGCTGAGCTGAGGCTGAGGCTGAGGCTGAGGCTGAGGCTGAGGCTGAGGCTGATGCAGGCTGAGGCTGAGGCAGGCTGAGGCTGAGGCCGAGGCTGAAGGCAGACTGAGGCTGAGGCTGAAGCAGGCTGAGGCTGAGGCTGAGGCTGAGGCTGAGGCTGAGGCAGGCTGATGCTGAGGCAGGCTGAGGCTGAGGCTGAGGCTGATGCAGGCTGAGGCTGAGGCAGGCTGAGGCTGAGGCCGAGGCTGAAGGCAGACTGAGGCTGAGGCTGAAGCAGGCTGAGGCTGAGGCTGAGGCAGGCTGAGGCTGAGGCTGAGGCAGGCTGAGGCTGAGGCAGGCTGAGGCTGAGGCTGAGGCAGGCTGAGGCTGAGGCAGGCTGAGGCTGAGGCCGAGGCTGAAGGCAGACTGAGGCTGAGGCTGAAGCAGGCTGAGGCTGAGGCTGAGGCAGGCTGAGGCTGAGGCTGAGGCAGGCTGATGCTGAGGCAGGCTGAGGCTGAGGCTGAGGCTGATGCAGGCTGAGGCTGAGGCAGGCTGAGGCTGAGGCCGAGGCTGAAGGCAGACTGAGGCTGAGGCTGAAGCAGGCTGAGGCTGAGGCTGAGGCAGGCTGAGGCTGAGGCAGGCTGAGGCTGAGGCTGAGGCTGAGGCAGGCTGAGGCTGAGGCAGGCTGAGGCTGAGGCTGAAGCAGGCTGAGGCTGAGGCTGAGGCAGGCTGAGGCTGAGGCAGGCTGAGGCTGAGGCTGAGGCAGGCTGAGGCTGAGGCTGTGACTGCGACTGCCGTTGCCACTGCGACTGTCATCGCGAATGCGACTACGACTGCGAGAACAGCAAAATTCTACAAATGGATGCCCATCTGAGTCTTAAAGGGAATGCTTCCAGATATGCTCCTACACATCGCTGTTAGGTTGCTTTGCCGGGATAATCCACCCTCCACCCTCTACTATCCAATCGCTACCACACCGCCTACTCCCTGCTATCCATTGATTGCCCTCTACTCTACTCTATATTCTGCCATCTCTCTACCCCCTAAGTACCACCTTAACGTACCCTGATCTCTCAGCTCCATCTAATTTCTGTCGCCTCTGCTCTGCCCTCGCCCCTCCTCCTCCTCGCTCGTCATCCCCCCCTTTTTCCCCCCGGACCTCCTGACTCCCACCTTCCTCACACCTAACTCCTCCACGCCCTCGTCCTCCCTCCTCCGCGCCCGCCTCCAATCCGCCCCCCGCCCCCCTCCCAGCCGCGCCTGCTCGTCGCAAGACGCCGCGGCCAATGCCGACCGCGCCACGGCGAACGCGGCGGCCCACCACAGACACCGCGGCATTTGTGTCCGCCGGGCGCCCCTCCCCACGAGGGCGCCTGCCTGGAGGCAGCCGCGCCTCCTCCTCCTCCTCCTCCTCCTCCTCCTCCTCCTCCTCCTCCTCCCTCCTCCTCCTCCTCCTCCTCCTCCTCCTCCTCCTCCTCCCCCCCCCCGCCTCCTCCTCTCCTGGGAGGAGGGGGGAGATGTCCGGGAAGGGGCGGGGGGGGGGAAGATGGGCACGCGGGGAGGAGGGGCGGGAGGGCGAGGGGTCGAGCTGGGTGCTCTCTCGCATCAAAATGAGGCGTGAGGCGCCCCCCCCTCCCATCCCCTTCCTTCTGCGTTGACTCCCTCGCTGTTCAGCGACTCGGGTGCGTGAAAAACCCTAAATCCCGAACGCCACAACTGCGTTGGCAACGTCGTTCCGTTAGACGGAGGCTCCCTGGTGAGCAGAAAGAGCAGCAAACGCACCAGCGAGAGCATCACTTTCCAAAGGCAGCAAACGTTACGGTCGCATGCGAGAGTCAAACCACCATTGACACCGCTGCGATGACAAAGCTGTCCCGTTGGAGGGAAGTTATGTTCATCATGAGAATGGCGAACACCACTTGTCTACAGCACACACGGTTCAGATGCTTTCTATATCGGAGGGCATCTAAGACCCGTCCCGTGTGAAGAATGCTGATTACATGCCATATCGTATACAGTGTTTGTCCAACCACTACGACACCAGGGGAACCAGGTGGTAGCGCTCAGATTGCGAACTTGTAGCGATGGGGAGGCGAAGAGGGGCAGCGGGATAGGGGGAGGGGGAAGCGAGGGCTGGAAAGCGCCACGAAAGGCGGCCCCCTTTCACGAGAGCATGGCGGGAATGCTGCAGAGCCCAAACCTCCTGGGGATGGAGAAAACCAGGGAAAGGGAGGGAGCGAGGGAGGAGGAAGGAGGAAGGGGGGGGTAAGGAGGCAGGGAGGCAGGGAGGAAGGGAGGGAGAACGGGGGGGGAATAAGGGAGACCGCAGTGGAGGACTGCGGGCTGCAGGCGGAGACTGTGGGCTGGAGTATCGCGTGCCGAAGGAGGAGGAGGGAGGGAGGGAGGGGGGGAGGGAGGGAGGGAGGGAGGGAGGGAGGGGGGGAGGGGAGGAGGGAGGAGGAGGAGGGAGGAGGAGGAGGAGGAGGAGGGGAGGGCTGCGGGCCGCGCACTGGGTGGGGGACCAGGGGGGGGGCGGGAAGAGTGGGCGGCGGAGGACCGAGGAGAGCAGAAGGGCCCCCCTCGGGTCGGGCGACAAGGGGGGGATAGCAAAGGGGGGGTTTGAAAGGGGGGGCAAAGCGAAAGGGGGGAAAGGGTCGGGCGAAAGGGGGGGCAAAGCGAAAGGGGGGGCCCCCCTCGGGTCGGGCGAAAGGGGGGGCAAAGCGAAAGGGGGGAAAATCAGCTCGCGTAGCTGATGTTCCCGGCGCTCCCGGCGTCGGAGGCGGCCATGTCTCGAGGAAGGGGCCCCTCGGTGAGGCCGACACCCGCTGCACGCAGCAGAGTGCGCAACCCCCCCCTTTCCCCATCCCCCCCTTCCGCCCGGCCCGACCCCCCCGGCGCCCCAGGAGCCGGCGGCGGCAGCCCGAGGCCCTCGGATACGGGATGTCTCCGCCGCCAGGAGGGCGGGGGAGGAGCGCGCCCGGCAGGCGATAAAGCTAGAGAGGCGGCGGCTGGAGGGCCGAGGCGGCAGGCTGGCAGGTGTCGAGCCCAGGCAGGCTCCTCTGGAGCCCGGCCCCGCGCACCAAGCACTCGCTCGGGCCAAGCTCCTCTGGAGCCGCGCGCCCCTCCCCCCCCCCACCACCACCACACACCCAAGACGCAGCACTCATCCTCCGCGTCATCATCCTCGTCCGCATCCTCATCACCGTCCTCATCACCATCATCCCCTTCTGCCTCCCTCTTCCATCCCACCAGCTCCGACGTCCTCGATGCCCTTTCTCCGCCCCGCCTCCCTGCTCCTCACCATCCCTTCCTCATCCCGCCCTACATCCTTCGGTTCCATCCTCCTCCTCCACCTCCCCCTCCTCGATAGCATCATCATCATCACCACCATCATCATTATCATCATCATCAGCAGCATCAGCATCAGCCTCAGCGTCAGCATCAGTATCATCGTCATCGTCATCATCATAGTCATGTTCACCATCATCACCATCGTCAGCATCATCAGATTCATCATCAGCAGCATCAGCAGCATCATCAGCATCACCATCATCAACAACATCATTACAATAGTCATCAGCATCACCAACATCATTACAATCACCATCATCACCATCATCATCAGCATCGTCATCATCATCACCAGCATGACCGTCATCATCACCAGCATCACAATCGCCATCATCATCATCCTCACTAGCAGCATCATCCTCGTCAGCATCATCATCCTCGTCATCATCAGAATCATCAGCAGCATACACATCATCACACTCATCAGCAGCATCATCGTCATCATCAGTATCAGCATTATTATGAGCATCGCAATCATCAGCAAGATCAACATCATCATCATCAGCAACAGCATCATCTACTTGCCATCACCCCAACCGCATAATCATCAGTATCGTCACCATGATCACCATCATCATCACCATCATCATCAGCAGTACCAGTATCATCATCAGCATCATCATCAGTATCAACATCATCATCACTAGCGTCGACTTGTCATATCACCATCACCATCCGCATCACCATCATTCCCTTCTGTCTCCCTCTTTCATCCCACCCACACCGACGTCCTTAATGCTCGTTCCTTCCCCTCCCCCGCCTCCCTGATCCTCCTCATCCCTTCCTCATCCCGCTCTACATCCTTCGGTTCCCTCCTCCTCCTCCTCCTTGTCATCATCATCATCAGCAGCAGCATCATCATCATAATCATCATCGTCATCATCAGCAGCATCATCAGCATCAGCATCAGCATCAGCATCAGCATCACAACCATCATCATCATCATCATCATCATCATCATCATCATCATCATCATCATCATCATCAAAATCAAAATCATCATCATCATCATCATCATCATCATCATCATCATCATCATCATCATCATCAGCATCACCATCGCCATCAAGCGCGTCAGCAGTGCGCTGCGCAGAAAGGAGGAGGCCGGGGTAGGCGCCTCGGCGGCTCGCCGTCGGGCGCGGGCACGGCACCTGCTCGCGGCCGAGTCAGCAATCAACAAGGCGGACAGAAGCGGCCCAGGTTCATGGCAAGACCGTGAGGCTGCTGCGCGCCCTGTATTGCGCCTCGCCGCCGCGGGAGGTCGCGTCCCTGGCGCAATGAGGCGGCGGCGGAACGCCGCATGGCACGCGCTGCTGGACCCTGCGGGCGGATTCGCGCGCGCGTCCGCAGCGGGCATAGCGCGGGCCGCCGCAACCCCCCGCCTGGGCTGGCTGCCCCCGCTCCCTGCGGCGGCCGCGGTGTCCTTCGGCGACTTCGAAGCGGCACCCGAAGAGCACTGCCAGGCTCTCGGTGCCGAGGACGAGGACCTCTGCGAGGGCAAGCTGGAGGAACTGAAGGGCATGCTCGTGTGCAACTTCGGCCTAGACCTGGACGGGGACAAGGGCCTCTGCGAGGATAGGTTGGACGAGATGAAAGGCCTGCACAAGCGCGAGGTCGGTCTTGATCTGGACGAGGACGAGAGCCTCTCCGAGGACAGGCTGGAGGACACGAAGGGCGTGTACAGGCGCAAGTTCGGCCTGGACCTGGACGAGGGCCTCCGCGAGGGCAAGCTGGAGGACCCGAAGGGCCCGCACATGCGCGAGTTCGGCGTGGACCTGGGCGCGGACGAGAGCCTCTGCGAGGACAGGCTGGACGACCTGAAGGGCCTGCGCACGCGCAAGCTCGGTCTGGACCTTGACGAGGACGAGAGCCTCTGCGAGGGCACGCGGGAGGACCCGAAGGGCCCATACAGGCGCGACCTCGACCTGGACTTGGGCGAGGAAGAGGGCCTCTGTTTCCTGTCTGCGGACGAGCTCCTGGCGGCGGGGGCCGCCTCCAGGATCGGCCCCGCAGCGGCAAGCATCCTCCTGGGGGCCCCACTCGAGGCCCCTCAGGCCTTAGAGGACCCTGAGCGCACCTGATGTCTCTGCAGCGCTTGCTGCGTGCCAGCCCGCGGGCGTCGTGGGCTGGGTCGCTGTGACTGTTGAGATGTCACATCTTGCTTGCTTCGGCTGGGGCGGGGGGAGGCCTCTCGGCACTCAGGCGAATCCGCGAGGGTGCCTTGGGCACGAAACTGAGGATTGCCTCCGCAAGGACAACGGGAAACGCCTCGGTCCGAGGGCAGTCCGAGCGGGGAGCTCCTGTCCCCTTCAGCCGCGTGGATCATCATCATCATCGTCATCATCATCATCATCATCATCATCATCATCATCATCATCATCATCATCATCATCAGCAGCAGCAGCATCATCATCAGCATCAGCATCAGCATCAGCATCAGCATCACCACCACCACCATCTTCATCACCACCAGCATCATCATCCTCATCCTCATCCTCCTCCTCCTCATCATCATCATCAACATCATCAGCATCATCATCACTGTGATCCGTTTCCCGTATCTCCTCCTTAATCCCCTTCCCCTTCCCCTCCCCCTCACCCCTCTTCTCTCCTTCCCGCCAGCCTGGACCTGGCCTTCCAGGCCGACCGAAGACGTGAAAAGAAACAGACGAGTTGCCGGTCGGCCAAGAGATTCGAAAAAATGCGCGAGGTGCGCACAGACACGAATTCGAGTTTGCGGGAGGTTCCTGTCTCGAAACTTGAGCCGTGGCTGCGGGCGGCTTCCATGCACGCGCGCGCGAATCCGTGACGACTGCTAGTTCGGCTCCAGGTAGCTGGAACCAGTGACAGAGCTGCCAAAATGCAGTCGAAATCTGACCACGAACATAGAACGTGACAGACGCCCTTTTTGACACTGACCTCGCCGGTCTGCCAGAGACATACTAGGAAGACCCCATCCCTCAGGCCTGACCTCCCCTTCCCCTCCC